GACAAGCCGAGCGGCGGGGCGCTCAGGGGAGGCGGCGGTGGTGGAGCGGAGGTGAGCTGGAGCGGGGAGTGGTTCCTCTACCCCCCCCATTACTTCCTGCGCCCCCCCCACCCTAGCTCACCTCTGCTCCGCCTGCTCCCCTGAACGCGCCGCCGCTCCGCTTCTCCCCCCTCCCTCCCAGGCTTGCCGCGCGCAAAACCGCTATTTCGCGCAGCAAGGCTGGGAGGGAGAGAGGAGAAGCCGAGCGGCGGGCACTCGGGGGAGGCGACGGTGGTGGACCGGAGGTGAGCTGGAGCGGGGAGCGGTTCCTCTACCCCCCCGTTACTTCCTGCGCCCCCCGACCCTAGCTCACCTCTGCTCCGCCTGCTCCGCCCTCCCTTGCCTGAGAGGGAGGGGGCAGAAGCGGAGCGGCGGCACTCCCGGGGGAGCAGGCGGAGTGGAGGTGAGCTAGGGGCAGGAGGTCATGGGACGCCCGCAGGAAGCAATGGTGGGGGGGGAAATGCGGCACACTGGGGGAGGGGGCGGGGCTGGAGGCTTGGGGAAGGGGTTCGGAAGGGGAAGGAGGGTTTGTGTCCGGGGGGCAGGTGGGACTAAAAAAAAGGGGGGGCGGCCAAAAAATTTTTTGCTTGGGGCAGCAAAAATCCTAGAGCCAGCCCTGCCCTCTCCAAGGGTTGCAGCTGTCTGGAGGTGCCTGCCTTCTATGCCTGCCTCATTCACACCTCATTCATTCAACAGGGCAATTGATTACAAAGTGGGGGGGAAGATCTTATTCTACTTCTAGCAAAAAGACATTTTTCTTTTACCTTAATTATACTACCTTAGGGGCCCGCTATAACAAATTACTGAGGTTCAATACTGCTGTTTCGGTGGGGTGGCGCTGGGGAAGGAGGATTTGTTTCCGCGGGGCAGGTAGCGCTGGGAGGGGGGTGGGGGTTCGGCAGCGCTGGGGGGGTTGTTTCCGTGGGGGGGTGGCGCAGTGGGGGGGGGGTTGTGTTTTGGGGGGGCGGGGGGGGGTGGGGGGGTTGGCGGCTCTCAGGGGGTTTCGGCCCTCAGCTGTTTTCTTTGGAGTAATATGGCCCTCCCCACTTTACGAGTTGTGCAGGCCTGCACTAAGGTATCTTTGCTGGTATGGCTACACCAGAATAGTATACTGGCAAAGAGCTCCTACCCTGGTCGCAGCTTATACCACCAAAACTGTGCTTTTACTAGAATATTATTCCACCACACCTAAGCAAAAAACAGATTACATGGGTAAAAGTGCAATTTTGCCAGTATAACTGTGTGTACTACTAGGGGCTTCTGATAGCACAACTATGTTGGTCAAGAACCACACCTCTTCAACTCCCTGGCCAACACAACTGTGCTGGCAGAAATCTTGAGCGTGTACTTGGCCTTAGCCAGAGTGGATTTTACACCTCTTGCACCTGTTCTACTTGTCTTAGAGACTTACACATGAAACTACATCTCTTGGTTTATGGGACGTTTGAACCTCCAAGCTACCTCGTAGCTACCTCCTAGCAGACTTTTAGCTGGGAGCATACCAAGCGTTCCCCCCCGTGACTCCCCAGCCTCTTTCATGGGTAAAGACATGGGGCAAGAATTAGATTGAGAATCCACCACATATAGGAAAGTCATCCAGAGATTTCTGGGGAGCCTGGCAGGAGGCCATTTTGTTTGCTCACATTAGAAAATACCATTTAGTATCCTAAAGTGGTGGGTAACTTGGTTCCTTTGGTTTACAGACTCACTCAAATAAGATTTTTCTAATTATTAAGCCACAAATTCATATAACCAGAGATTCTTTTTGAGGGACAAGAAGTGCATGCTGTGGTCAAGATCTATCTTGTAATTTACAGAGACCTATCTGAAGCACTCCTTGAATTCCGCTGAAGAGGAAATGAGGTCTCAATAATCCTCTGAAACACTAATCCTTGGCTCAGTGAAGGTCTGTGTGCTGGGAACAAGTCATACATAATTCCTCTTCAGATATGAATGAGACTGATGTTTCAGATAGAGCATTGCCTGCTCTTTAATGTGTTTCTTTATTTCAGCCATACTTGCCTGCTATTTGGTGGAGGGAAGGGAGCAGATTGAGACTGTGAGGAATAGTCCTGTAACAGATCCTAATAAGCTCAGCGCACCTGCCACTGCCACACATATGCTCTACAGTTAAGAATTGAAAACCTAGGGTGGCTCACTACTTGCCAGAAACAGTAGGGAAATAAAGAGCTGTATTTGGCTAAGGTAGGTGGACCTTGCTTCTGCTGCCAGCGGCAGAATGGCTGGGTGGCAACAGAAAGGGACATATCCAAGTAAACATACTGCTAGGCAATGAGAGCCATTGCCTCTGGATAGTAAGCACAGGAGGGAAAACCACATTTAAAAGGACTGGTGGAGAAGCAGCTGAAAATGATTTTATAGGTGATAAATCTAGACTAATTACATTTGCATCAATCACTACCACCACCAGGTTTGACCTTCATGGACTTCTTGCCACACCACCATGCACACACAAAGTGTGGAAGAAGACATGGAGTTAACCATGTTGCATTGGGGATACTGAAGCTTATTTTCTTGGAAATTTTGGGTAAACCTCACCATGAGCTACCAACACCACATTATAATACATGTGGAATATAACTTCCTATTATATATGTTTGGTTATAACAATTTATCCTCATTATGGCTAGCAACTTTTACTAACTTGTAATAGGTTTATCATTTAAGCCTTCCATCTTTCATATAATTTCAGTCAGTTAAAATTTGGTTGTCTGGTTAAAGCTGAAGAGATTAAAAATGGTTCTACTCCATATGCTCATAACTGTTTTATAATCAATTTATTTTGCACTACACAAAGGACCTTCTTTGCAAGTCTTCACTGCTGAAAAAAAATTTGTACTAAATATTTCACTGTAATTAACCATTTATGTTAATCATGCTGTCATCTTACAAAACTGAATGCAACATGCATAATTTTTACAATAGTGAAAATTCCCCAAATGCATTCATCTTTCTAATCTATTTACCTGAGTGTTCTGTTAGGGTGCTGTACCATGCTATGACTTTGCAACCTCCTATAACATCTCTGGCTTCTTCTCAGTCTTTCATTGTGTTTTTGGCCAGTTTTAAAGTCTGAAACGATTCTTCTCATTTTTTCCTCAAATAGCGCTGATAATCTCAAGGTCATACTATAAATCTAAATAAAGAGATGTTAACTTTAAATTATAAAGTATCTTACGAGTAAATTGAATGTTTTACAAGAAAGAATTTACTGAAGTGACCATCTGGAAAAAGTGACAAAAATGACTCAGCATAAATTAGAGCTACAAGAAACATATGACTGACACCTACTTTTTCTGAATACTTTTGTTGCACTCTATTCTTTGTCCAAACCCACCAGAACGGTAGATTGCTCTGTTGCATTACTAAATAGGTACTGATAAAGGGCCCAACACTAAATGAATCCTAGCCCAGCCTGACTACTATGAAAGCATAGTGTACAAAAAGGTACCTTTGATCTTTTACTTGGAGTGTAAGATTTTGCATTGCTAAATATTAGTCTTATATCTTTGCATAGTTCCATCGGGTTGTCATAATTTCCAGCTTCCAGCGTCTCCTTCACTGTACCAAAGTCCATTGGAGTGTCTATAATATGTCTGTAGTCCTAGATAAGAGATGGAGCAAAAAAATTTCAGTAGCTTAAAAGGGCATACAGAAAATAAAGCAGAAGAATTTTGATGTGGTTATTTTATTATTTCTATTAGCACAATAAGGACAGCTGAATAGTCTCAAGTCTTGAGCTACAACCTCAGCAATTTAAACACCCCAACCCCAGCAAAAGAGACTCAAGATTTTAGGTTCAGATGGCTTTGGTTCAGCCTCTGTTGCTGCTGTCCCACCTGGGGGTACATACTACAGCAGCTTTCATTTTTAAAAGTTTCCATCTTTTATGATAGCAGAGAAAACCTTGAAAATATAAACAAAGAGCAGCTAATGCAGTGATGTCTGAGTCCACAGAGCTTTATAGCTTTGAGTGGGTAAACTATCCCCATTCTTCTCAATGCAAGTTAACTTAGGTGCCCAATAACAACATTAAATGTCAACATTAACTATTTCACCAATGATCAAAGGAGAGGGAAGAGCATTGCATAAATCTTTCACACTATTTATTCCAAGGGGCTGTGTAAATTGGTAGATTGAGTGTATGGGGAAGGCTTAAGAGATACCTCTCCACTTACTTTCCCCTCCAGCCCCCCAATTACTTTCCCCTCCATCCCCCCTAATTAAGAAGGGATTGAGCAGTGCCCAGCAAGGCATCTGAGCCCCACCAAGGAGTCCAACAGAGCCCATGGGTGTATTTGAACCTCAATAAGGGAGAGCCAAACTCAAGGACTGGAACCCAGACAACACAATTTATTGGAGTATTATCTCATTTTGTCATCTTAACTGGGCAGAGGCTCGGAAGAGTAACACTACTTTCTTCCGAACCTTTGAGTATTACTGAACATTTGTGTTACTTTAGCATGCAAAGACCCCAACCAGGATTGGGGCCCAATTGCATCGAGTACTGAACAAACACAGACAGTCCCTGCTACAGATATCTTACAATCTAAAATACATTAGAACAAAAATTATTAGGAAGACATAATATACAAGTAAATGAACAAGACGACTAGTGGCACACTTTGGTTCTTACAGGTTGTGTGATGTGTTTTTAATAGGGTCAGAGGAAGTATTAGGAAGAAATGAAGGTTACTTACCTGTAACCGGAGTTCTTTGAGATGACTCCACATACTCCCACTTATGGGTACTCTGCCACCTTTTGGTTGAACCCTCGTCTAGCAGTAACAGATATAGGACTCTCATATCCCACCTCAACCTCTCTGTGTCCCAATGTATTCAGGGTAAGACTATAAAGGGGGCAAAGCACCCTCCCAACTTCAGGTCCTTCCACTGCAAAGCCAGAGACATAATTACAAGGGCTCTAACAGAAAGGGGAAGGAGGGTGGGAAGTGTGCATATGCAGACACATCTTGAAGAACTCCGGTTACAGGTAAGTAATCTTCATTTCTTCTGTGAGTGGCTCTGCATATCCCTACTTATGGGAAAGATTGGCAAAGAGTGCTGAGACTAACCTGGAGGTGGGAACAGGGACTTAACTGAATAAAAACAAAAGCACCACTTTGCCAACCCCAGAGCATGTTGCTTGGTGAAAGAGCACTGAAGTTCAGGTTGCAGCTTTGCAAATCTCAGTCTGAGGCATCTGCCTCAGACAAGCAAAGAAAGCAGCCACAGCTCTAGTGGAAAGTGGTTGAATCGAAACAGCTACAGGAATTTTTGCTAGCGTTCAACACTCAGCAATACATTGCTTTATCCACCAGGAAATAGTCTGAGAAGAAACCGTATGCCCCATGTGGTTCCTGGCATATGAAACAATCCAGACATTTTACAAAAGCTCTTAGTTCTGTCCAAATAATAGGCAAGTGCCCTTATGGCAGCCAATGTATGGAACACAGATCTTCTTTCTAGAATGTAGTTTAGAGGGGAAAAATGGTAAATTAACAGACTGATTAATGTGGAAGTCAAACACCAACTGATAAAATGAACATTTAGCCAATGGGGTGAAATGAGATTTCACCAACATGGTCAAAACCAAACTGAGGTCTAAGGAAAGGACAGGGTCTCTAACAGGATGCAC